AAAAAAAAAAAAAAAAAAAAAAAAAAAAAAGGGCAGAACAGAAAGCTCACAATCTAGGAAAAGTCCTCAGTCCTGACAGTTAATCCTTTCAAAGGGAACCAATCAATGCTGTCAGGGATGTTTAAAAAAGTGCCCAAAACAGTAAACCACCACCAATACCCTTGCCATCTACCGCCCGCAGGCAGAAAAAACGAAGGCCGTAAAAGGAAAACGGGCCGCCGATGGAAGTTATCCATGGTGGCCCAATCGTGTTTGGCTTCCGAATATACCGGCGCGTATTTGATTTTGAAGCAGGGAAAGGTACTGGAGATTTGAGGATGTGAAAAAAAAAGGGGGGCGGAACAGTGCCAAAGCCTCCCGATTGGGTGATAATCAATGCCACAGTCTCAGGTTCTCTCGGCCATGACGGGGAGAAGCACACAGTGAGTACTTTTGATGTAAGGGGCGCTGGAGTCGGTTTCAGGAATTATGAATACAAAATTCGCGGTTGAAAGAAAAGAAAGAAAGAGAAGGAAGCTCCTTTGCGGATTCCTTGTGGACGTAAGGCGATAACTCAGTTCCGCTTCGCATAGATGTGAATATCGTACACGGTAGGGTAGGCACGGTAGGTATCATTCTTCTGCCGGATTGTTCATCCTCCAAGCAGGACCAACCCATATTATCTTTAAGGTAGGAGAGGAGCGCTAATGAACCAGTACATGGCCCCCCAGCCACGTTGAGATTTCAATTGAGCCTCTCCTAAACTTTCAGAGGTTCGTGTGCCGACTATAAAATAAATCGACAGCCGGCAGCCTCGGAAAGGGGCCCGCGGCAGATGGCTGGCATGTACTGGTGGTTAAACCACCAGTACTTGGGCGACGCCTTAGCGTTAACGCTACGCGATTTCCGCGGCCGGCAGGCCGTCGATAAATTGAATCGACAGCCCGCGCTGCTTCGAGATTTAGGCGGCCGGCGGGGCGCGCAGTGCCCAAGTACTGGTGGTTTAAAGAAACAAAAAGGAGCCTGATTGCCGCATCTAGCTGCCCGTCTGAGCAGGTGTAGGGGGGGGGCCACAGCCTGCCAATCGTGCTTGCTGTTTAATTTGATATAATAATTTGGGATGCTAGGGCCGGTAGCTCACAGGTGGAGCTCCCCACTTATAGACTGGAGGCTCTGAGAGAAGGTGTGTGGTCCCATTAGCCAGGGGTGTCCCCTGGGGCACTAGGCTGCGGCAATGAGTCAGAGTTTGTTTGAAAATAGGAAAGAACACAGTCAAGAAAGACAGGATGCCAAAGAAAGAAAAAAAAAGAAAGAACGAAAGAATGCACGGCGGAAGACAGACGAAAAAAAGAATGAACGAAAAAAGTGGTGAACGTGTAAAAAAATAAATAAGAACATAAAAAATGGTGAATGTACCAAAAGTAGCTTCAGTGAAGAATCTCACTGTACTGAAAATAACTGTGTAAGAACAAACCTGATGAACCATCTGCACGCACGTCCCTGTCAGAACGCATCTGAGCATCTAAACGTCCAGGTGCATCCTGGTGCATCCTGGCAGGCCTTGTTTTTCTTCCCATATCCTAATCGTCAAATAGAACTGGGCGGTAAACCGTAGGCAGAGAGGGAGAAGGAGAAGAGGACAACAAACGAGGGGCTGTGACAAACTGTTTCGTCGGAGTTTCATATATATCGTCAACTAGAGGCATAGGGGCTTGCCACACAGCCTTTCGAATCAAGGCATTTTCTGAAAGGTGTCAGATTTTTTTTCAAAGGCTGCTCATCGAAAGACCCCCCCCCCCGCACCCCCCCCTCTTTCGCCACACACAGTTTTGAAACGCCGAACCCTTTCTATTTAGACGGCTCCACTGGTCTCGACGCGTGTAAAATGAGAGTGTGAACCTTTGCCTAGAACATGGAAAGATACACCACCATAATTTTCGTCTTCCGTGCATGCGAAGAGTAGTGGAGGAGCAAGGCCCTTGTAATCGCCCATTTTTCTTTAAAAAGATTTTTTTTGCCGATCGACCATTTCGAGTGGGCCTTTTCACAAGACCACTCGAGGTCTTTCGAGGACATGCCCGCGACAGGCGGGAGGATCTCATCTTTTCAAAATGACTTTCTACGCCTGCAAATCTGACACCTTTCAAAACTTATTCGAAAGAACTTGTTTCGACAGGCTGTGTGGCGAAGACACGGCGTCGATTCTGGGCAGTTCGAAAGCCTGTGTGGCGAGCCCCATACTCACAGTAGGACTTTCTTTTTTTCCTTCTTTTTCAATTTTATTTCGACCATTTCTCGATTAATGTGTGTCATCCTTTCGCAGGGGCCATGCTAATCTTCTTCTTCTTCTTCTTCTTCTTCTTCTTCTTCTTTTTTTTTTTTTTTTTTTTTTTGTGTGTGTGTGTGTGTGTGTGTGGGTGTCATCCTTTCGCAGGGGCCATGCTAATCTTCTCCTTCTCTGTATCGTTCCATTCCAGTTTTAACGGACGTCCCAAAGGACAGGACTTCTTGTATACTGCGTAAGTACGCCCTCAGTTGCCCTAATGAAGACAAGGAGGACTCCCTTTTGCTTCACCAGATTTGCCAAATCTTCAGTTCCTTTTCAGAGAATCTTTTCTTTTTTATTGGGCCGGTGGGGGGGATGGGGGAATAACTTCATCATACAAGCCAGGAAACGGGCCCAGCGTCCCTCTCAAATGTTGCGCGGTCCAGAGAATCTTTTAATGAACCCTTAGGTCCATGTGCCTAAGCCGTACACACATGTAACTGTTTGTAAAGTTGTAAACAGCTTTAAAAAAAAAAAAAAAAAAGAAAGAAAGTTGTAAACAGGTTAAAGTAGGTCATGAGTTCGAATCCTGCCGAATCCGATGGCTACCGATGGCTACCGGTCCAGAGAATCTTTTAATGAACCCTTAGGTCCTACCAACTGTCAGAGATATCCAAATGCGCCGCCGCATGCCCGCCATTCTGCAACATGAATAACACACTTTGGGCATCGCCACACCACTCTCGAACTGTGCAAAATGAGAATGAACTTCCCGCTAGGACATGGCCAGATGCACCCGCCACATTTTTGTCTTTTTCACATTTCGAGAGTGGTGTGGGGAGGCCCTTTCTCAGGAGTGGGGCATGGACACCCTGAGTTAAACCGCCAGTTCGTTTCCCAGCTACATGGACCTCTGACGCTTTTTTCATCGTGAAATGACATGAATGGACTCAACTGGCCGCACACAGGGCTGTATACAACATCCATGAAATGGGCGGTGCGTTAACAGCGCACCTTGCTTAAACAAAAAAAAAAGGTAAACAAAAAAAAATGCTACAAAGTTGAGCAAGCAAGCGAAAAAAAAAAAAAAAAAAAAAAAAAAAAAGTTGAGCAAACATTTGGTGAGTTGCGCTCAGGAAGGACAACAAACAGCTGGCTGGACTTTCCTGTGGGTGATTTCACTCCGATCCGAGTCGCCACATGGCCCTTCACAAAGTTGTATACGCGGCCCCGGGACCACCACAAATACTAGAAGGCAGAAATATAATGACGCAATGGATTCAAGAATCAAATTCAAATATATACTTCATTTTTAAATATTCAAAAATAATTCAAATATTTTAAATTTTTAATACTGGAACATCCCTACACGGCTACAACCACAACGGCCCCCACCACAGTGACCACACATAAAATGCAAGCTCTTCTCTTTTTCTCCTTTTGCCTCAAGAGGAAGGAGGAGGAGGAGGAGGAGGAGGAGGAGGAGGAGGAATTCCCAGGACCCTCCACCCAAAGTCTCCTCTAACATTTAGCTCAGGCACCATGTGCCTAAGCGGTACACACATGTAACCGTTTGTAAAGTTGTAAAAAAAAAAAAAAAAAAAAAAAAAAAAAAGTTCTAAGCAGCTTAAAGTAGGTCAAGAGTTCGAATCCTGCACAAATCCGATGGCTACCGGTAGGGGCCAAAACCAACCTGTGATAAAAAAGACCCTCAAACTGTTGTGTTGGATCACCGAATGGTACGGCGGACCAACCTACCGTCTTCACCCGAATAGAACGCCCGGTCATTATAGCCATATTTGGTGCACTTTTCAGTCCAGGTACACCTATAAAAAAAAAAAGGCGCAAGGGGTCAACGGGGACCCCCTCAGTACCCCACTTTTCAGTTCTTGGGAAACGGGTCCAAATTCGCTGAACGGTAACCGGGCATGCCACTCCAACATTCGATAACCAATAGGAAATCTGGCTGCCTGTGAGCTCTGGAGGAGGAGGGTGCACATCGAAATGTGAATACATCTGCATCTGTCTGTCTATGCCTATAGGCATAGGTCTGTTGCTATTGTCGAATGTCGGTCAATATCTATGTCAACTTCTAGAGGCAGGCACATGAAACGACATTAACAAAAAAGAACGACGTAAAATGTATGCAGCTGACAGAGACAAACATTGTTGTCCGCACCCACTAGTATACGAATACATCTGCGTGTGTCCGTTTCTAATATGTCTATCCTCCTCACCAATCTATATATATATATATATCGTCACAAACAGAACTGCCCGGTAAACCGTAGGCAGAGAGAGAGAAGAGGACAACAAACGAGGGGCTGTGGCAAACTGTTTCGTCGGAGTTTCACCGACTCATCAGGAGGCTATATATATATCTACTTCTATAAAACGACAGAAATAAACAAACAACCAAAAACAAGACATAAAATGTGTGCAACTCACGTGGACAAACATCATGGTCAGCACCGACTAAACGAATCGGGTCGTCTCTGTGATTCAGGGTGGGTGCACATTGGAATTATTTGAATAGGTCGCTATCTGTCCGTCTATGTTTTTTTGAAACCCTGTACTGATGATAAGAGCATACACTCCCACCTGTCTTGCAGGGACTCCAGTCTATTGGTGGGGAGCTGCACCTGCTGGTAAACCCGGTCCAGCGTCCCCTGAAGGACGATTCGAGTTGGTAGACCAGAGTCTCATGCTGGGAACCCGGCCCAGCATCCCTTTTGGCGCTAACCATTTGCGCTAGTGGTAGTGAACGGAAGATGCGGGTGGTTGGGGTGGTGGAAAGAGGGCTGGGAAGGGGACCATAACAGGTTCAGCTGGAGGGACGAAGTTTCCTAGACTCAGTCACACCCTAATGAAGCAGCTTGTCTGCCGGCACCTTCGCAATCCACCCGCTGCTGTCTTACTTACTCCGCTCCATACCATTGCACGTCCCGCCATAGTCAGCTGATGAGGCGGGAAAGGGTCGGGAAAGTCCGACGGTGACCGCAACGGGATCCCTTGGCCCACCATTGTCCAATCTCTGAAGCAGATATAATAGTATCTCTTGATCGTCCCGTGGTTGCCTTTCTTGGTGCCGTCATTGCCTTCCTGGGCGCGACCACCATCCCACTTGATGAAGGCGATCCGGCCCCCCCCGTTCTCGCTGCCCAGCCAGTCCCTTGAAAATTTTTGAATTGTCTGTTTCATAGTGCCTTCATTGCCTTCCTGGGCGCGACCACCATCCCACTTAATGAAGGCGATCCGGCCCCCGTTCTCGCTGCCCAGCCAGTCCCTTGAAAATTGTTGAATTGTCTGTTTTATATCTTTCTGTGCCTGGAACAGATCCACCTGATTTTTAACTTTCTGCCATTGTGCCATAAGTTCTTGGTGTATATGGTTGTTTAACCATGTCTGTCGTTTCCTCCTCGGCTATGAGGACCCCCTCCATGGCATATATACAGCGTCTCTACCATCTTCTGGCCCACATAACAGCTCTCCTCCCTATCTTAAACATATTGTTTTCGAAGGTACTACCCGAGGGGGAAGTCCACGCCTCACATAGTATCGTCCTCCAATCCCATGGCCAGATTTATCTCGTGTCCAACAGGTTCCAGATCCTGTCCCACCATCGCCATCTAGGGACAGGCCCCGGACACTGCAAGAATCTGTGTTCTATGATTTCCAGGATCTTGCGGAGGGGGGGGGGGGGGGGGGGGGGGGGACGCCGTGTGTGGCACAACTTGCACCACGGGAGCGCCAGTCCTTTCTGTTCCACCTATGTGCGATCTGATATAGTCAAAACATCTTAGTCTATGTCTACATCAACGCCTGCACCATATCTGCTTAACCGTCTAGGGTGTGTAAGTGCAGGTTTTGCAGGTAGGTATACACAGGTAATGTTGCTTCCATATGGTCTACGCGTATCTGTGCGTTTGCGTCTATTTTTATTTTTTACCACTACATGCAAAAACAAGTTGAAAAGCTGTGAGAAGTTGCAGACTGACTGTGTCTGTGTGTTTGCCTTTGGGTTTTACAGCTAACATGCTATGCCTTTGCTTGACAACTAAATACACAGACATCACAGAAAAAAGCACACAGAAATCACACACGATCACACAAAAATCAAACGAGTTCAAAAGTGGTGGGAAAAACCTAGCCTAGTGACCTCTGACGCCTCATTATAGCTAATACCACCCATCTGATCATTTTTCAACAGCTTCTGCTATTTCTTCAGATTGACTCTGCAGCTAACTCTCTAGCTCTGTCACCTTTCCAGACAGAAGCTCTTTTTCTCTTCCTCTCCAGCCTGTTCTTCTGTCCCCGACTTCACTCCGGGGGCATGTGTTCTCACCAATTTCATCTTCGGCAATTGCCGCGTCTGTGTCCGGGACGCAGCGAATGCTCTGCAGCTCCATACACTTGGGATATGCCATGTGCCCTTTTTCATTTACCTCAAATTCCCAGTTCTTTATTATCCCTCTTTAAGCCTCCTTCACTTTTCTATGAAAGAGAAAATTGAAGAGGCATGGCAACCCCCCGACTCCTCCTTCCGCTGTCAGAAGACTCGGAAGTTTTTTTACTTCACTTAAACCACCAGTACTTCCTGAATTCGCTCCGCGTATACGGCCAGCCAAAAGTGGAAACCGCGCCGTTTCCACTTGGCTGAATCGGGCCTACCGGCCCAGGCCCGTTCATTCCAAATTTCGCTCGGCGTATACGGGAGCGTTTTCAGGAAGTACTGGTGATTTAAGTCTTATGAGCTAAACTGAGTCAATGTTGCATTGGATTAGCTGTCACGACGTACCGTCTTCCTTGCCACTGCTTCCTTCCTTGCATGGATGGTATCTCTTGAGCCACCAACCGCCATGGACAGGACATCTCTGTCCCTTGGCGCTTGATTTCCTCCAAGGATGAGAAGAAGGTCGACAAAGCCACTGATTTGCGCATGTCATCCTCATGCAGGGGACATGCTCATCTTCCTCGCATCGTTGCCTTTTTTTTTTTTTTTTTTTTTTTTTTTTTTTTTTTTTTTTTTTTCGGATTTCCCCAGGGGCCTCCTTTGTTTTCCGTTTCCTGTCCCCCCCCTCTTTTTTGCTGAGTCCCAACCTGTTAGCGTTCGCCTGGTGTAGATTGGACAAAAGAGACTGTACACTCACTTCTCTCTTCTCCCCTTTCCCCCTTCTCCATCCTTGGTGTCTTCTACTCTCATCTCCCTGCTTCTGTGTTTTCATCATGCGGGGCATTGTGCGCAGACTCCGCAGAGCATATTAGCTACACACACGATCAACCTCTTACGAAGAGAGAGTCTCAGGTCCTCTGTTGTCTTCTCTGCAATAGATTGGGCACGCGATTTGGATGCTTGGCGCTTCTCTTCTCAGCCTTTTCCCTGCTTCTCCCCTTGCTGCCATCTGCTGCTCTCTTATGACCTCTTACGCTGTCATCATGTGCTCCGAACGTGTCAGCCACATGATCAGCTCTCCGAAAAAGAGTCGCATGTACTCTCCTTTCTTCTCCTTCATTGTTTGCCTTTCTTCCCTCTCTTCTCTCCTGTCATTACAGCTGGCCTGCGGCTTCGACAGCACATTCCTCTTCCCCCTCTTCCTCTTTCCTTACGTCGCGTACTCTCCACCCTCTCCTCTTTACATCCTCTCTGTCTGGTTCAACCTTGTATGTTTCTAGCTTCACTCCTTTCTTCCTCCCCACTCTCCTTTTTCTCCTCCTCTCTCCTCGTCACACTTGTGCCTGCAATCATGTCAGAACAGGGTTGCACCCTCGCACTCCCTCTCTCTCTCTCTTCTACTCCTGTTTGCTCATTTCTCTTTCCCTGTCCTCTTCACTTTCCCCAACTTTTTCCCCAACTGCTTCTCCTCTTCTTTTCATATCTTCTTTTCTCTTCCTTTACCATTTTTGCAAAGGCTCTCCACAAGTCGTCCCACAAGTCCTTCACATCAACCGCCAAGTTATCTGCGAGTCAACCATGCGTTGACCCCCGAGTCATCCACAAGCTATCCATCCATGAGTCACTACCATCCATGTCATCATTGAGTCGTCATTCACGAGTCACCTAAGAGCCATCAACGAGTCATCGATCGAAGAGTCATCACGGGCCATCATCGTCAAACGAGCCGTCGACGAGTCGTCAAAGTCTTGAGAGCCATCAAACAAAAAGTCGTTTCTCGAACGTTGAAGTATTCGTTTGATACACTAATTCTCCACACTAAGTCTCCATAATAATAAAATTAATTGAGTCCACGAGTGCTCGCTCGAAACATCCCAACGAGTCATCCACGAGTCGTCGACAAATCGTCAAAGAGTCGTCCACTCACCCCCCCCCCCCCCCCCCCCCCCCCCCCCCCCCCCCCCCCCCCCCCCCCGCTCTGGCTCTTCTGAGACAGGAAACCCAGCTACCTCAAACCTTCTCTCATTGCTCGCCTCTGATGAATGATGACGTTCCGATATACTCCGCGAGTACGGTAAGCGAGAAGAATTGAGCAGGCAAGGCCAAAGGATGACATCGCAAAACAGATGAGAAATGCGCCTCGGAAACATTGTGAACCCCGACACACGAGTTCTGATGCGGACGCCATGAGATGTGCTGACCCCATGTCATGCTCCTGAGCCCTGGCCTGGTAGTCATACCACATGCCTGTCACGTACGCCATCGCGTATGTTCCAAATGGAAATGATCTGTAGCAAAACACACAGTGTCACATGCACCCTCCCTCATTTCAGTCACAACAACAAATCACACACTTTCCCCACAACTACGTGGCAACCATTGCTGTCCCCGCCACGATCCTCGTTGGGCGTGGGGTGCCTGCCAGCATGGGATGATGTGACCGGTGCCGGTATTGCAGTCGGGAGCGATTGAAAAAACCCCGACAGATGGCCATCACAGCACTGACGGCAGTTTGGAACCACTGGAGCACGCGCCTCTTTAATGAAGCTACTCAGTGCGTGGATCAATTGCAATCAAATTTATCAAAAACGTTTTCCAAATTCCCATTCCTTTTGTTTTTTATTTTTATCTTTTTGCCACTGGAAATCTGTCTTCAAGGGTCCCTTTGGGACATCTGTTAAAACTGGAATGATGCAGAGAAAGACGGTTAGCATGGCCCCTGCGCAAGAAGGATGACAAGCATAAACTGAGAAATGGTCCATTGAAAGGGGACGAGGAAAGAAGCAGCCCCCACCATTCTCTGTACCCGCAACAGACCACATTCCAATGTCGAACACAACAAGGGCTGAAGACATGGTGTGGATGTGCCATGGTGGTGCCCACCGATCAGGTAATTTATCGAAAAACGCAACATTTCTGTACTATGATACTATCCCTTCAGAAGTTCACATTCATTCGGAAGACCCTCATAGTAGTGGCAAAGAAGGACAAGGAAGAAATGGCACCTGATCATAGAATGGATCAACGCGGAACTTCAAAATGCTGCAGCCAAACACGTCGATCGTTTCCATGGCTTGATAATAGTTGGTATGCAGCACAAATCTGGCACCCACCAAAGAACTTCAACAAGGATCTAAAGAAAAAGGCGGCCGCGTATCTGTGGACAGGAGACGTAGCAAAGGACAAAATCATAACCAAGGTGGCTTGGCAGTAGATAACTAATCCTGCAGATAGAGGGGGTATCAGCCTCATAGACCTGGCCAAAGAAGACGAGGCTCCGCAAACGAAGTGGGTGCTAAGGTTAATATAGAAGCCAGAGCTACCATGCCAAGAAATGGCTCTATAGAGTCTATAGAGTAGTATAGACTCAATAGGAGTCTATACCGAATAAGGAACCTGCTGTCGTTCAAAGCGCAAGAGAGTATAGAAGGACACACCTGACTCATGAACAGACACTGGTCACACATCGTCAACCATAAAAGAAGGAAATAGGACGGGACCGCCCCAGCAGACACTAGGCAAAGCTATAATCTCAACATGGAGGGGAAGTCTTCCCGCAGAGGAGAAGAGGACCGAGGACGAATGAGGAAATCCTGAGACAGCCCCTTTTTTTTGGCA